CTTGAGAGAGGCTGCTCTATGCCAGTATAGGTCATCCTCCTCGTCATGACCTTGCGGACCGTCGGGACCGCCTCATCCTCTCCCCACATCTACTCCCTCTTTCCCGGTGCACCCCTCCCGCCGCGCGAGACAGAGTGGGCCTCATCCACAGCGGCGAGATCTCCGTCGACTACACGGCCGGACACCACGATGGGGCGCGTACCCTCTCGCCCGCGACGTGGAAGATCATCGTGTCGTACGCCGCCGGCGCCGGCGTGACGGCCATCTACGCCGCCCTCCAGCGCAAGGGCATCGGGCCGCCCGCCGAGAAGGAGGACTTCCGCATTGTGCAGCAGGAAAAGTACGGCACCAACAAGAAGGACCCACCCAAGGACGCCGAGGCGGAAGAGGCCTAGACGATGGCGGGCCGCGCCGATTGGGAAACCGACACCGCTTTTTGTACACTCCACGCACTCGGGGGACTCGGCGTTCGACGAGCATCTTGCGACACGACACGGACCCAGAGCGTTTCGAAAACATTTAGGCTTTGTGGGGTTGGCACTCCCATCGACCCTCATGACCTCCTGCGGTCTCTGAGATGCATGGACACCACGCCCTGTATAACTATAAGTATTGATACATGTATTGATTATTGACAGCATCCCCTCTAAGTATTGACAATATATTGACATATTGATCGCTGATTTTAACCTCCAAGAGCACACCATGTCGACATTTGTCCCAAACATCGCGCCTAGATGTGGGCTGAAATCAAAAAAATCACGAGTTCAAAGCAATTTTATGCGATTTAAGCGATTTTGAAGCGATTTGGGCCCCCGTTTTGAACAATTTAGAGCCATTTTCAAGCCCGGGATGGGCCCCCATATTGATATGTTGAGTCCAACCAGACGGTTCCTGACCAGCCCAGGCCCAGCCTCTCCTCTAAGTATTGCAATATACATTGATATTGTTATTGATCGCATCTCTAACGTCTAAGTATTGGAGCAATATATTCAATATTTCCCGACTCGCGACTGCCTTATCTCCCCTCCGACGCCCTCCCACGCCAACAGAGAGCTGTGGGTGTGGCCGTCCTGAGGGGGCAACGTGTCCTCGCCGCGCTGGGCGCTCTCCCAATACTCGCGTACATGTAATCCTAGACAAGGGCGTTATCACCATCACGGACTCACGCACCCTGAACATGCACACCTCTTACACTGTCAGGACATACAGGCACGTCTACTCACTACTCACTACTCACTAGGCGAAGACGTAGAACTTGCACACCGTCAGCCCCGCCGCAGACGGCCGGTTGAGGTAGATGTAGCGCCCCAACGCGTTGATCTCCACCTCCAACATCACGTTCGACAACACGCTCACGTCTGACTTCACCAGCGCGTTGCCCGTGTACGTCTCCGCCGTCGAGCCGAGATAGATGTCGACGTCCGTCAGCCGCTGTGGGCAGCAGTCGTTGCGGTTCTGCAGCCGCACGAAGCGCACATACACCTCGCTCCCGAGGTCGACGCCCCACCATTGGCTTGTGTATTGGCCGCACTCGGCCCACGGCCGTCCCGTCGTGCTGTCGGCGTATGACAGGTCGCTCACGGGCGCCTGCTTGTCGAACAAGCTCGAGTCCTGGTACGTGGTGGCGGCGCGGAGGTCGAGCAGCTCAGGCGGCGGCGGCGACGGCGAGGCGGACGGCGGCGGCGGAGAGGGCGGTGGCGGGGACGGCGGCGGCGGAGAGGGCGGTGGCGTGGTCGGCGGAGGCGGTGATGGCCAAGGCGATGTATGCGTAGGGGGCCACGGAGGTGTTGGCGACGGCGGTGACG